TCCTGAAGGCCTTCACTATGATTCACTTGAGAGGACATGCCAAAGGCTCCAGACAGCATCCCTATGTGCCACTGATACCTCAAGCACCATTAGATCTGCAGGGTCATATGGCCAAAGAGGTAGAGCAGCTTGTACAGTAGCTTTGACCTGTTGCAGAGACTTCTCCTGGTCTGGGCCCCACTCAAAACTAGCTGCCTTTCAAGTCACTTAACAGATGTGCCAGAGTAACACACCCAAAACCAATACTTCACCAGATATCTAGGCATCCCTCAATCCAGTCAAATTGATACCTCATATTGACCATAGGTTGTGAGAATTCAGTGAGTTGAAAAAAAGTGAGTTAAAAAAATGCCTGGCATACAGATATGTTAAATCAACATTAGTTATTATTACTTGAGTATCAAAGATCTTAAATGTGAATGCAGAAATGTTTGAATTATCACAAAAATGAAAACAAGCCATTTTTGAAGTAATATAGCCTTTTAATTTTTCCCAGTTAATTTATCTTGAGAATTGATCATGGTTGGGAGGTTCTCAAAATGTCCAAGACCCCAGAACCAGCCCAGTGTAAGCAAATGTGAGCCAGTGTTTTGGTAACTGCAAAAAAGTTTACCTAGAAGTGAAATATGTTCAACATTTCACCAAGAAAGCCAATTTCTCCTTTAAAAGCAGTTGCATGATTACATCAAAACATTATACAACTTAATATTTTCTTTGTGACCTGAGCCCAATTTTAGCTCATTTTAGATATCTAGATAGCAATATCATTTTCTCTTTGTAATTATTCCTCAATCTTTTCCTATTTCTGAAGTAAAAATATTACAGTCGTTTCAATTCTGCAAAAAAGTTGCTGTTATTGAAGTAGGGAAGCCAGTAAAGGTCAAAATTACTATCTAGTAATCTTTAAATTCCAAGATAATTTTATAATTAATAAATTTCATCCTTTAAACATATGCCACCCAGACAAGACTATGCTCTTCTAGCCTTAAAATATTAGCATAAAATACATGTAAAATGCTTGCTAAGAAAGTAAACATTAAATGTTAATCATATTCAAAAGCTAAGAGTCAATAATATTTTAACAGAACATCAAGAGACAAGCTGCCTGAAATAATTTTTTGTGGAACAAAGCAGAAAATGAATAAATAAAAACCTTATTGATATCTCTCTTAGGTAGATAATTCTTCAACTGATAGCTGATTTTTAGAATAGCATTACAAAAAAGTCACTTTCTTCAATTCTTTCTTTTATCTTTTGATCATGTTTAAATTTTTCTGTATATGAGCTTGGGGTAATTGAATATATTTTTCTACCCATTGATTAAGAAAATCCTCTATTAGAATTTGAACACATTTATCTATTTTAAATGATTACTTAGTCAATTGTAAAGGAAATATGTTTTCATTCTTTATTATATTTGATTCAGGAACACAGATTTTTTATGGGCTCATGGGAGAGTAATAAATCACACTTAGTAAAACAAAGCTGCCTGGGCAAAACAATTTTTAAAAATAAATCCCAGTAATACTTAAGAAACAGCTGATGAAAACAGATGTACTCTTTGTTTTATATGAACCTCAAATTTTGCAGCATGCTAAAAATAAAGGGTAAGTTGGATTTAGTTCAGATCTATGCATTTGGCACAGAATGCTAAAACAAACCCCACCCTTGAGGAAAAAAAGGAAGGTATAATTTTGTAATTATAAAACAATTATGGCTAAGATTTAGTTAAGTGTGGAACGTTGTATATCTTTCTCAAAAAGATGTTTGAATGAAATTGACTTAGGATTTAAAATAGAAATCAGAGGATGTGAGAGGTGGCTTAACTTTATGCTATGCTATTTAAGACAATAAATGATGTCTTTAGTTTGAATTTTTCAAAGGGCAGAAAACTTTACACAGTCTGCTGTCAAATTTTTCCAATTTCAAATTATTTTTCCCCAAATAGCATTCAGTGTGACTATGTCTGTATTTAAAAACCAAAGACAAAAACCACATGATTATCTGAATAGATACAGAGAAGGCCTTCGACAAAATTGAAACTAAAGGCACACTGGGGCCTGTTTAGGGGGGCCAAGGGAGGGACAGCAGAGGTGGGGTCGGGAGGTCAGGGAGGGATAACATGGGGACAAATGCCAGATGTAGGTGACGGGGGGATGGAGGCAGCAAACCACATTGCCATGTGTGTACCTATGCAACAATCCTGCATGATTTGCACATGTACCCCAGAACCTAAAGTACAATTAAAAAAAAAATCCCTCTCTATTAGTGCTGAGTTTGTTTTTCCAGCATTTTTTGTTGCATTAGCCCTGAAATAATCACAAAATCTTATAGCTTATGGAAGTATATCTAATTTTAGCTTCAAACAGTATTATTTTATGAATTAATAAAAGATTTAGAGGTTCTATAGTTAGGATTTACTCTCTAAAAACTAGGATCTTGGGCCTTAGCCTCTTAAAAGTAGATCTCTTGTGTGGGCTCAAGGGACCCAGAATGAATTATACTGAGCCAGATTTTCTTCTCCCACCATGCCATAGTCCCCTCCTGTACTCATTGATTATCCTAAACAATGGCTACACTATTTCTTTTGCTTCAGTTAAACAAACTTTTTGAAAGACCACTGGGGACTTTAGAATTGAAACCTTTCTAGAGAACTCAAAGAAGCAGCCCATCTTTAATTACACAATATCTGTTTAGTAAATGAGGTTCAGTCTCTGAAAGAAAAAAGTAACCACAGGCCTTCTAGCCCAATAATGGAAATCATTTTGAGGAATGATGCCTATTATGGGTTCAAAAAGAAAGAAAAGTAAGAGAAATAAAAAGAAAAAGAAAGAGAGACTGATTGTATTAGAACTTTTTGCTAGTAAGAAAGTACATGCTTTTAGCTCATTAGAAAAAGGAACAATATGGTAAAATTTAACTCAGTCAAACTATACATCAGCTACAATTAAACTTTCCATAATTTACTCATTACACAATTAGATGCAAGGTGCCTATTTCTCTTTGCACCTACTTATTTCTAAAACAAATAGCCAAGATGTTTTTATTCATGGTAGTTGAGATGTTGCACACAAAATACAGGCTAGACAGAAAGATTTGGGTATTATTTCATTACTTATAAGGAAGAATGAAATGGAAGAAATGCATTTTGCCAAAGTGTAAACCTTGCCTTGGATTAGTGATTTCCTTACCTAAGGAAAGTTTGATATATTAATAATTTCTCTGGTACCTTACCGACTCCCTTTTATAGTTCCAGGATTTTTCCTGGAGTTAATTTTTTTTGTTATTGTTGTTTCATAGCAACTGTGATTCTCTTGTGAACTGCCTTAATTGCTTTCTAGAAGCAAGCGGAAAATGAATGAGTGAACAAATGAATGGAAGCAAATTTCAGTTAATAGAATGGGGTGTGAAGATACCTCTGGCTAGGATGTCTGCAAAAGAAAAAGTCTGAAATATGCTTACCTGGAGAAAACCATCAGTTTCCAAATTCCTTTCCATTCATTTGTGAGTTCCCCTTTATGTAAACGGTGGAAATAGAATAAAACAGTTTAGGACTTTTAGATAGGGTTGTGTTGAGATCTTAATACATTTGGTTTAATCTTGACATTTTTCAATAGAAGAACAGAAGAGTCACCTCATTGTATCTATAGTGCCTATTATGTATATTGTATGAGATGCTAAGATCCACGCATCTTGCCTTTGAGGTCATTCTCACTTCTTAAGATGAAGGAAGGTAGAATTGTTTTCTTCAGGGAACATTTGTAACTTTTGCTGTTGCCCCTCTATCACTCTCTTACTCCCCACCTTTATTTTGTATTTACTAGTTAAGAAAGCCAAACAGTGCTTTAGAATGTGTAGCTGTCATGGAGAAGGTAGGCTCTGGAAAGTGTTCTGGATGAAGAAAGGAAGATTTGAATGAAATAGGAACTCTCATAGCTCATGGTGGGAGAATGCTGCCTACAGCTGAAGGAAGTTTGCCTTCTTAAAGCAGAAAGCAGCAGAAGAAAGAGCTGGAGAGAATGTAAATGGAAGCAGGAGTTTGGTCTAAACCAGGGATTTAAAAAATCAACCACACATAGTAAATAAAGATTTCAATGAAGCAAGTTGGTTAGAAAGGTTTACTTTCTACTTTTCTGAGTGAATTGTTAGATGTTTAGACCTCAGTGGGATTATACTGCACTGAAGTTTGGGAAGCATTACCCAGACCACTTTCATTTATTCATCAACAGTTCTGGAAACATTTATTTTCTGTTTATCTCATATTTTCAATCTTAAAAAACAACAAATATTTCTTCATTTACTTTATTACTTAGCAAGAAATAAACTGATGTCAAGATACCCTCTCTGTAATTTATTACATGTCATCTACATGAATACTCATAGATAACAGCAACCATTTTGGTTAATATTATGATCTATACCTATGAACATTTTAGTGTGATAGTGTATTGCTGTTAAGTCAACTGTTAGATGTATATTTTCTTAGAGGGCTTAAGCTCAGTTCATGTAAGCCAGTACTAAGTTCCTAAGTCCTACTCACTATAAAATAAATACAGGCTTAACTTTTGTGATAAATAATGAAGAAAGCTAAAATGTAAGTATAATTCCAAAACATTATAGTTAGTCATGGCTTTGCAACAAAATTCATCTACTTTCAAGTACTCTCTTCATGTATTTTGACAGTACAACTGTTACACAATTTTACATCATAGTGATAATACCTCTGTGTCAAATCCTGCAGGGAGTTCTGGGAATGCTTTCAGATCCTGCTTGAACTACAAAAAAATCAAATAACATTAAAAAAATAAAAACAAGAACTTAAACAATAGAAAAGACTTATACATATCTCCTGTGATATTCTGTGTGAACCATTAATTCAGAACACTCTCTATCTTTACACAGGAGTGGGAATGAAGTGAGTAATTCTAATAATATTACACAAAAATGTCAACGCATCACAGTTTTTGCCTAGGAAAGAATCATTTTCTTTTATTTTTTAAGAGAGGGCGTCTTGCTTTGTTACCACACTGGAGTGTAGAGGCACAATCATAGCTCACTGCCTTGAACTCCTGGGCTCAAGTGAGTAAAGGATCATTTCTAAGTGAATAAAAAAGTCCTTTTTTATAGCAGAGGGATTGAATTTTATTTAACATTGCACTCCTTATACTGCCTTGCATACAGCAGGTGTTGGATAAATGTTCATAAACTGTATTGTCAATAATGCATGATATTTCCTGACTTCATGTATATACAGACATTATCAAAGATTATGACTGTAAAAGGTTATTGATTATTTACATAAAAACAAGTGGGTCTCACAAAGAAAACTGTGTGGGTATAGCTGTGTGTATGTCTGGAAACATATATGCATCAAGCATGTATATATATGTGTGGGCATGTCTAGACTCCTCCAGGTTCTATAGCAGATAAATCCTGTAGGGCCTGGATCCTCAGGAACAGTACTACTTCTACTTTCATGTGCATACACGCCACTTGGGCATCTTGTTAAATTATGGATTCTGATTCAAGTTCCTGAGTGACACTCAATACTGCTTGTCTGAGCACTTTGGGGACCACATGGGATGGAGACTGGCAGATCCTGAAAAACCAGTAGCCACAACTGTTGACTGGAACCCAATGTCTATAGTTTTCCTGGTCTCCTCAAACCCAACCTGTCATGTCATCAGATGCCATCTACTAGTAAAAGATACTGATGGTCAGTCAAGTCCCAGTCTCTATGGAACAGTTAGTTGGCAAGTACCTGTGAACCACTTGCTATGAGCTAATTACTTGGAAGGGTTGTGCCGGGGTCATGAGGAGGGGTAAGGTATGGTTCCTTCCTTCAGAGTGCTTATAGTGGGTTGGGAGTGTATGTATTCACGCACCAAATAAATAAAAAGAAAATGCAACTGGAAAACAATCAGATGCTAAACTCTGTGTTATAGATGTACATTCTCAAATGTATATTCAGAGCAGGGCAGATTGCAGTGGCTTGCGGAAGTTCTAGAAATGTCTTTGTCTTGGATTGGGCTTCCCAGAAATGGGCAGACCCTGAGATGATTTAAGTGCAAATCATTTATTTGGAAACTTCAGGAAACCAACAGGGGAATAGAAGAGTGAGAAAGAGAAGGCAAGCAGCTCAAAAAGTAGTCTGGAAAATTCTAGGGGGAGTTTATTTCATTTGAGGGGTAAAGGAGTTATGGGAGTTGACAATACACCAACTCCCATCACTGGTTGTGGAATGCCATGAGACAATATTCATTCCTCACATATGCATACACCATGTGTGTTAGCAGAATGGTTTGTGAAGTTGGGGAAGCCATAGGCAAAGAAATTCAAATACTAACCATTGGAAGTAGTTAGAAATTAAGTGATTTTGGTCTGAGAGCTACAGGCAGGGTGAGGACCTGCTATCATCTTAAAAGAGCATCAGGATTTGAACTGGAATTAGCAGCTGCTTTGTCCTCTTCAACCAATCTGCTGCCAATGCCCAGTTGTCCTTTCTGGTGAATCTGAGGTTTGTTCACTTCTTAGGCTCATGGCTAGAAAGGGCACTTACTAAGTGGTGGCTTCCTGCCTTTCTTGAGGCAGCACCTACTTCCCTCCAAGACACCAGTGTAAGAAAGTCAGATGGTCCTCCTCTGGAAAGAGAAAGATAAAATCTCTGGGGACCAGACTGCCTACTTCTGGGGTTTGATCCTGGTCATGCAGACATCCCTTCTATGTGCAGTCATGTCATGGGACTTGCGAAGCTGTCCAGCTCACAGGGAGCTGCAGGTCCTCTGTGGATTTGGTCAGTTGGCCCAAATTACAGCTGATAATTACAAGACATTGTTAAAAATTTTTGCAACATGTAACCTTTGTAACCATCACTTACTACTCTAAATTTACAAGTATTTTGGGACTGTTTGTCCTTTCGCCAGCTTTTAGTTTCTTAGGAACTCTAGGGTACATAGGATTACATTTACTTATCTGTCCTATGAAGGGAAATAAAATATTGTTCCTAGAATCAGCCAAGAGAAGGTAGAAAACAGGAACTATCTGCTAATCAATAAGGAGTTTTCATAATCTGACCTAGCCCACTGTCCAGCTTCATCTCTCTCCCTCCCCTCCATTCTTCATCCTATGCTCCAAGCACTTGAAGTCCTTCACAATTTCTAGAAGACTCAAGACCTTTTCCTGGCTGATTGCCACTGAATGTGATGACTTCCCATGGATACCTTCCTCCTCTTCCCCTGACATAACCCTATCATCTTACAAGCCAAACTTATAATGCTCCTCTAAAACTCCCCCACATGGGGTTAGTTCCTTCCTTCCTGGTCCAGTTCAAAATTCAGTAACAGCAAGTAACAAATTTAATTCCAATTTCTGTTTTTACATCTTCTTCATCCCAAATTGTGAGCTCCTCTAGGGCAGGGACCATGTCTTTCTCTCCTCTGTGTCTTCATCACCAGTATTGGACCTTATATTTGGAAAGAATCAGCAGCTCTGCCCTGTATCACTGAGGGAGAGAGTATCAGTACTCTTATTTGAAAGTATATTTTGTATGTACTAAAAGTCTGCCTTTGTTTTCCTTATACTTTGTAGGAGGTTTATTGTTAATATTATTTACAGTTAACATGTACCCTTTTAAACAATACAAACAAAAATAAATTTTCATTTTGGAAAAAATCCTTCCCCAATCCATGACCATTTTGCAATATTAAGTCGCAGCCTCTGGCTCCTACCAAGGCCTAAGAAAGTATATCCCCAATGTCACTGAACCTACCAAAGTTTTAACTAAGTCGATCATCCTTGGGGAAATTGTGCTTTTAAGTCACAGGTCCTTCCTCTTGTAGAATGGCCCCAGATTTTTTTTTAGCCTTGATTTGTAATTTAAAGGTGTAAATCATCCACCCAGCTCCCATTTCTCAGGATGTTATTCAACAGCCAGGATGAGGACAGTAATGTGGTTCTCAGCTGCCTTTGTCATTCTTTTCCTTTTCCTCCTGAAAGTGTTTTTGTAGGCATGCCGGATGTCACAGAAATGCGACCTGGGCAAGATGTGTGTCACTTCTTTACTTGAAAAGTGTCCATGACTCTGAGCCCAGAGAGGATGTAATGAACACGCCCTGATGCTTAGCCAGCATATTCCAGCTAGTTAGAAAAACAAGGCAGAGGGCACAGGATTTAACACACACGATGGCAGCAGCTGCACTCAGGGACATGCCATTTGATTCTTCATAGATGTGGGCTATTGGTCTGCAGTGAAGGAAAAACAAGTGGCCATAGAACCTTTCCATGTGCTATCAGATTATCTGTAAAAAAAAATTTGAAGCACCTCGTCTCTGTTTCCACCACTAGGTCTGCTGCCTTGTAGGTATGGCACAGAGGAGGGGCATGGTAATGGAGTGCATGCTACATAGTGGTATGGGCTTTCTAATATGACCAGTTCCTAAAGTAAAGATGACTATTAAACTAAAATTTGTTTCAGTCCACTTATTTGAGACTTAAATAGATGGAAAGATGCATGAATTCAAGTTGGCCTCTCAAGAAACAATGTCATTCCTAAAGCATTCTCTTTTCCAAGTTGACCCATGTTAGGAAAGAGGGCTATAATAGCGATAATACCTAACAAGTGGGCTGAGACCACTGGCATGGCTAAGAGAGTCTAATTAGGGAAGAAAAAATGAAAAAGTAAAACCCTCTAAAGTGGAAACAAACATTCTATTTCAGTCCTCCATGGACAAAAAACATCAGCTTAGTTTGGGCTTAACTTAAACCACTGCAGATTTAGTTCATAAGAGTTTTATAAAAATGGCTGCAAACTTATTTGAGCTGTTTAAATAGGTGGGGGCATGGGGACGACCTACCCTTTATGGAAAGCAGTGTACTTCCAGTGGCCCAAGAAAACAAGGCCTATTTTAATTTATGAAGTTTTATAAAATGAAGCTATTATTTTTGTTATCCTCATTTCTCCCAGGAATGGTGGTCTGTGATGTCAATGTAAAACAGATATACATTCTACCCTGAGGAAGAAAAATCTACATACACCAGTTATTTCTTAAAAAAGAAAAAAATGTGTAGCCAGTTCTCCTTTCCAGCTTTAGTGATACACGTGGTTGTCTATGGTGCCTCATTCCAATTCTGTCTCCTGATTTTGACTGGTCCCACATATGCCTATCCATTCAGCTGCTTTCCTTGGAGAGGCAGAGGCAAGGTAAGCCATTTCTCTAGCTTTCATCTCCCTAATTTCGGTCTGTTAGGGTCAAGTTTTAGCCTGTATACAAATAAATGCAATGAGAAAGCCTTCGGCAAAGCTGAGTAAAGTAATCAAGTGCTGACATTTATCAAATGTTTACTATTTGCTAAATACTGTTCCACATGGTTAAGTCATTAAATCCTCACAACAAACCTATGAGGTGAAAAACATTCCCATTTTACAGATGAGGAAACATGAATCAAAAGAGCTGATGTAAGTTGCCCATAGCTGGTGAGTGGCTGAGTCAGGATTGAAATCAAGGCAGGCTGACTCTGAGCCCACCCTCTTAGTCAACATGTTACTTTGCCCCCACCATAAGCAAGCTCATTTATGTAATAGATTCTTGCACAGACGGTTCCTTGGTGGTGATCACTTCTCAGTCAACAGTGGTGAGGGCTCCTTCTTGGAGCTGTACTTCAACTCATTTGCAGCTTGCTGAGACCTCATATGTGAAAATCTCTTTATAATCTACTCAGTATCATCTTTCACTTTTGTCGCCTACCAGCAGCCATTACGGATGGCCATGGCTCACCACATGTTTATGGTATAGTGACTCCATATTCTACTGCCAACTTCATTATCATCTTTCACCTGCTAGATATCAGAGATAGATTGTATAAGCTCAGAAGTATACAGCCCTCTCCACACTAATATTTCCTCTTCCTCTCTCTTAAGTTATAATTATGTCAGTTTGAATAAATGGACAGAGACTTGATGGAACCAAAGTTCAAGTGAGAATTCAACTCTCAAATTCTTAACTACCGGTGCTCTCATGTACTCATTCAATCTTATAGCCAAGGTGAATTCAGATGGACTCAATATTTTATTTATTTACTCTGAAAGCTGAAAGACTTAGGGAGGAGAAAAAGACATAAACCTGCAAATTACAACATGACATGGTTGAGATACAACCATCACACTTTTGAGGTACACCAAATTACTATGGAATTATAGACTGGGAGTGACTAACTTTGCCTAAGGGGACAGAGAAGAACTCACAGAAGAGGCGTCATTTGAGCTGGGTCAGGTAAGATAAGTAGGAGAAGGGAGTGAAAACTCCAGGTAGAATAAGCTGTGAAGGTCTCAACATATGTCAGAGTAAAGATGTTCAGGGAAGGGTATAAAATCCTGAGTAGTCAGAACATAGGGGAATGAAGTAGACTGGACAGATAAGAGCTGAAGCTACAGAAGGAAGTTGGGGCCATGCCAAGAGGTTTGCATAGTATCCCATAGGGAGTGGATGAGACCACAGAAGACTTTGTGCAAGGAAGTAGGATCACACTTGTATTTTTCCCTCTCTCGTTGGCCTCTCTAGCTAGGCAGGTTTTGTTTATTATATTGCTGCTGCTATTTTGTTGCTGCTAGTTGAAATGCATCAAGCATTTTTTTTTTTTTTTGAGATGGAGTTTCGCTCTTGTTACCAAGGCTGGAGTGCAATGGCGCCATCTTGGCTCACTGCAACCTCCGCCTCCTGGGTTCAGGCAATTCTCCTGCCTCCGCCTCCTGAGTAGCTGGGATTACAGGCACGTGTCACCATGCCCAGCTAATTTTTATATTTTTAGTAGAGACGGGGTTTCAGCATGTTGATCAGGATGGTCTCGATCTCTTGACCTCGTGATCCACCCGCCTTGGCCTCCCAAAGTGCTGGGATTACAGGCGTCCACCACGCCCAGCATAAGCATTTTTTTTAATATGAGGCACTGTGTTAAGTGCATTTATGAATTGCTAGATACATGTTTGGGGAATGAACCCTTAGGTGCCTCTAAGATATCATATCTGCTGTTGTCTGAAAGGTTTCCACTGCAACCTTCTCATTTGAGAAAGACGAAATGGTCCATGTATTTTTGCTGTATTTTGGGTACATTTAATCAAATACTATTTCTTATTTATGAATTTACTTCAACTGAGAATACCAGATAAATTGAGTAAATCCTGGAATTATAAAGAACTGGATAGATCTTTACTGAAAGGTGCACCTCAAGGGCAACAGTTGATTGGTTCTCCCAGAAGCAAATTTCTCTGCCCTGGAAGTGGTCTGTGAGTCATTCATGACCTCCACAGTGACACCAGCACTATATGACTATTAAACATGGCTTTATTTATGTTTGGACAAAAAAGATCCCTGCATTAATTTGGGAGGTAGAGAAAATAAGAATCGGTAGGATTTTTGTTGTTGTTGTCGTATATATACAGCTCTCCTCCGCTGAATGCAATCTAGATGGAAAAATTGTGATGATGCTATCAAGCTGTGGAAAACAGTTTGCTCACCCAGATGGGCCCTCATTTGAAAGACAGGCACACCTGGTCAGTTCCCAGTAGCCAGCCTTGCAATTCTTATACCTGGCATCATGCAAGCACAGAAGGTAAGGCATAAGCCAATTAATAACTTGTGTGATTCCAGGCTGTCTCTACGCAATGACCAAATCTAGACTGAGGATTGCAAACCTTCAGGAGACTCTGCTCTTCTTAAAGATGAAACATGTGGTTTGCTGAAAGCCAGGAAACAAGGGAGGGGTCTAAAAGTACGCTCTGATCAGTCATAGATTGTATATTATAAAAGTCAGAGCAGGATCTCAAAGTTGAATTGGCTTTTCCATATTTCTAAAATCTTTTATATCCTGGCAATAAAATTATCTGATAGTTTAAACCCCTACACATAACTGAAAGAACTACTTTGGTGTCAAAGACAAAAATTTCAAATGAAGTCAGTTTTTAGACGAGAACAGAATAGGATAAGAGAGAGGATCCTGGGGCCAGAGTTCACAAGGGTCCTGTGGCTGTCTTATAAGCACCCCCAAAATCCCCATGCCTCATGTAGTCCCATGTTCTACTATTTCCCTATAGACCAAGCTTTCCACATACAAAGTGGTGGGACTTTTACAGGGTAGTGTTTGCCTCTCTTTCTTTATTGACATTTTCTTTCACCTAGGAACCCAAGACCTCATACTGGGCATTTGCCCTCATGCCCAAGTCTCAATGTACCTCAGGAACTTCTTTTTCTTTTTGGAAAGAGGCTAGGTAGAGATATACCTACATATATATCTTGCCTATAGTTTTTGGTCTTTAGAAATACTGTTCCACAAGGTTTTATTTAGAAAGTTGAACAGATTTACTCAAATTAAGCTGTTACTAGCTGCTCAGATGACTATACTTATTCTTGGGACATCTGAGCTTTAGCCTTCCTTACAGCTGAAATAACTCTCTTACAGTAATATTTCAGGCACTAAAAATAATCAAGAAAGAGCATTATTTCTGAGCAAAGGAGCCTGCCTGACATTTGTAGGTGATTTTATTAGACTGATCCTAAATAAAATGGAATAATGGAATCAAATAATATCAGACCCATAAGAGAGGTAATCCAGTATAAAGCCATTAATTTTTGAGGAAAGAAAACAGATCCACAGACGTGAAATAAATTGACCAGTTGCAGCAGCAACATCACTTTTTCTGCCTTTGTCCCCTGTTTAACTCAGCATGTGGCCGCTGCCCAAATCCAGGAGACATATTCCAGTCTCCCTTGCAGCTACATATGGTCATATTCAGCTTTATGCTGTTTAGCAAATAGGTTGTAAACAAAAGGTTGTGTTTGACGGCCTGGAAGATTCCTTCTCCACTTCCCCCTTCCTGCTGGCTGAAAGATTGATATGATAAGTGGAGACAGTGTCATCATGAACCATGAGACAGAAGCTATATGCTTTCTGGTGTGCTCAGGAATGGTAGAGCAATAGGGTAGAAGGAGCCTGGGTCTCTGAAACATGGCACTCTAGGGAGATTGCCTTCTAGGCTTCTTTATGTGTAAGAGAATCAGATATCTATCTTTGTTTAAGTTACTGTGGTTTTGGATTTTTGTGTTACTCTTAGCTAAGCCTACTCTAAGCTGCTATATCAACAGTCTAGAAAATTATCAAATTGATTAACAATGACTTGATGGCTCTTCCATCAAGGATGGGTGATGGGCAAGGCCTGATTCTAAATCTAGAAAGAAAACACTTCATATGTTCTCTGTTACTAAATACTAAGGAGATTATGACTTAGTAGGCATTCTGTGGGGCCCAAGGACATTATTTAAAAGCTCCTCATATAATCCTAATGTCTAGATACACCTGGTAATTATCTGATCTACAATTGTTCTCTGCTGTGAGTCTGGGGTAGGTGGTGAATCAGAACCAACAGAAAGAGTTGTTTCTTTTGGGGAAAAAAGCAAACAAATATAAATTCTGAAATAATTTATTCATCAGGCTATTTGGATCTACCTTTCCTTCTCCTGGTATGCACTGAGAGTCACACAAATGTCACCAAATGAACTGTTCTCTTTCAGGTTAGCCTTTGATATGATTTGGATCTGTGTTGCCATCCAAATCTTACGTTGAACTGTAATCCTCAGTGTTGGAGGTAGGGCCTGATGGGAGGTGACTGGATCACGGGGCGGAATGTCCCCCATGCTGCTGCTCTCATGAGAGTGAGTGAGTGCTCATGAGATCTTGTGTAGACCTCCCCACCTCTCTTCCTCCTGCTCTGGCCATGAGGTACCTGCTCCCCTTTTGCCTTCCACCATGATTGTAGGTTTTCCTGAGGCCTCCTCAGAAGCTGAGCAGATGCCAGTGTCATGCTTCCTGTTGCAGCCTTTGAAAGTGCAAGCCAATTAAACCTCTTTTCTTTATAAATTACCCAGTCTCAGGTATTTCTTTATAGCAGTGAAAAAATAGATGGAAACAACCTTAGTTCAGACAAACTGACAGTGACATAATTGCATGTGGTTAGATTGCATGTGGCTACTATTTTTGTTTTTCACAGATTACATTTTCCATGGGAGTTTAGTCAATGCTAATGTCATTACTATACATTAATGAATCATTTGTGATGATTCCAGGGCTTCACACCTCAGAGGTTGAACTTTTTTGGTCCTTGCAAAGATCTGCAAGGTCAGCAGATTCAGTTAAACAGCTGTCAGGCAAAGTCAGCCTAATAACACTCACACATACCAGTGGGTTCTTCTGGCAGAAAAGGTGACAGGCAGGGGAAAGCACTGCCAGGAGGCAGACTGTGGCAAGGCATTCCCAACCGCAGTAGACAGAAAGGGATTATACTAAGAGTACATCTGCACCAAAGAAATCCCCTTTCAAGATCCATCCTCATGTTGACAAGTGCAAGCTTGGGAACTCCATTCTCCCGCCCTCTTCTGGGAAGCTAGAGGAGACAGAGCCTCAAGCAGGAGGAAACCTGGCAGGACTCAAGGGGCTCACCATAATCTCAGAAGAAATATAATCAAACAGCACAAAGATGCATTTTAAGACAAAATTCAAAAATAGGTGCCAAAAATACCAAAGATCTAATTGTAGCTGAGTTACCAACCCAGTCTGAGTTTGGGTAAGTCACATAACTTTTCTGTTTTTTAATTTTATCTTATGCAGAATCAAGGGACTGAACTCAATGAACTATGAAATTTCTTTTAAAAGTTGGACAATTTTATATTTATCTAATGGTTAATTATTTTATATGTAAGTAGGTTAAAGGAAAAGCTCTCAATTATAGATTTGTTTTTATTTTAAAATATGAAAATCCTAGATCCAAACATAAAATCAAAAGAGAGACATGCATGTCTTTAGAACCTGAATTTCTGAAAACTTTCCTAATTGTTTAATCCCCTTAAACTCTAATGGCATCCTGCTGTCCGTACTGAAAGATATCAGTATGCAAATATTTAGGCGAGTGCTTTTAAACATCCATGAACGTTTATTTCACTCTTCCAAATAACTTCATTCAGAGGACTGAAAAAATTCTGAGCCTAGGCACTTATTGATATAATAGCTATGGACTGTCATTAAAGGGTAGTCTATTAAATCTAATTCTGTGCTTACTGATGGTCTCCTGCGTTAAGAGAAATTGCAAACTGAAATCAGATACAGCTGTTTTATTAGTTGTTGTTACTGCAAAGTGGTCTTGAATCTCTCAGTGCTCTCTCCATTTTAACCCTCCTTCTTCAGGTGACACAGCAACAATAAAAGACTCACTTCCTAAATCTTCCCTATAACCCTGCTACTTGACTCAGAGGCCATTGTCTATGTAAAGGGATTGAAAGAGAAATTGGAACTCCCAGAATTCCCAGGACAAATTTATAGGTCATAAAGCTCCAATGGACTAAATAGGTGGGATTAAGTACCAATGCAGTTCAGGGGAATGGAGAGAAAAAAAGCCAAACTTACTTCATCCACATGCCCAACAGCTCCATAAATCCTTGCCATCTGTCCAATGAGGTAGGGGAATCTCTCACCAATCTCCTTCAGCATTGGAAGAAAACTGTTCAAAGCCACCGGCTCGTAGCTTGCTATCTCTATAAGGATGTTTAGGATGATGTCATTATGGGTTGAATCCTTCAAATGCCCAATTAGGAAAGGAATACACTTCTGAACTACCTATAAAGAGAGGAGAGGAGGAGGAGGAAAGAAAGAAAAAAGTTAATTAAATCAGAATTAACTTTGAAAGCAAACTTTTTTTTATTAAACCTGAGCTCAACACATTCTGGGATTATTTCTCTCACTGGTATTCAAGCAAATCTCCCAAGTTTAGAATTTAAAATTTATAATAAAATCTTCATAGCCTTTAGTTTCTTTTTCTTTTGATCTGTGCCTTCCTATTGAAAAGTGAAGTTTAAAATAATGCTTCAGTGTTACTATTCATAAATCAAGTTTTGATGTGTTATTTCCTTATTGGGAGTGCCACACTTCCTCCAATCACCATGAAAGCTGCAGTTTAAAGGACAATTTAAGTATGTGGGAGATCTTTGTTGACTTTAATCAAAGCCTTCAAAATGGAAAAATTCAGTTTAGAAATGTTTAATAAAAATAAGAAAGCAGAAAAGTTCTCACAGTTTCTTCAATTTTCAGTTTTGATCACAAAAATATAAGATAAAGTTAATAAAGCAAAAATGATTTATATCATAGTCTCATTATCTTAATATATTTTCTTGATTCTTATGAATCAAGAATGCAAAGGTGAAATGAATGTAAAGGTGAAATTTATCCCAGAAAATGGGACTCTTTTGTGGAATAAAGACACTATGTTAATATATCACATACTGATATTTTAATGAATTGTTTTGTCTGCTAAAGTGGATAATTATAAAGGAAACCTGTGGGAAACTGAACAATAAAAGTGAAACAGATTTGCCCATCCATATTTCTGCTTTGTTTGTTTCTTTGTTTGTGTTTGATTTACTTTACTGATGTGTCATTTTTTGGGTAGGGAAGACGTTAAATGTAGCTTCCAGTATTAAAACCAAATCTGATCACAGCACCATCTCCCCAAAGCTGAACTCATAATCCACCCCCTGCCAAAAACCTGCCTCTCTCTCCCTCCACCCCTTCTGGCCCCAAGTGCCTCCTTTTCCTATAAATGACATCACTATCCACCTGGGTACTCAAACTAGAAACTGTTTCTCCCTTACTAGCCGCCATTATCCAAGCAATTACCAAGTCCTATTGTGTCCAGTACCCAAGAATCCCACAGATCTGTCCACTCCCTCGTCTTTATATTCATCCATTCATTCACTCATTCACACTTGTTGAGTCCTTCCTATTTGCAAGCTGTAGGTGATAAGGATAGCAATAAGTCTGACAAGATTCCTGCCTTCATGGAATAATTTACTGTTTAGTAAAGGAGACATTCAGTAAAAGTCATAATCACATCAGAAATGAATAATTATAAGTTTTAATAAATCCTATGTAGGGAAAATGTAGGGCTCTGTGAGAGACTGTCCCAGGGCCCTAATTCAGGCTAAGCGTCAGGGAAGGCCTCTCTCAGGGGGACATGGAGCTGAGATCACTGACCCAGGCATCCCACACATCAGTTATTCCACAGCCTCCTAAAAGTCTCCGTGCCTTCAGTCTTGCCCATCCAATCTCTTTTCAGCTTTAGTCACAATGGTGTTTCTTCCTGCCTTAAAACCCTATAGTCACTTGCCCTTGTTTTCAACCTGACTCCTATTCATCTTCCCATACTCAGTTCCTTGACCATTCGGTCCACCTTCCCCCAGTCCAGACCCCACTACGTATCACACATCAACTATGATGAATTTTTTTTAAAGTTCTTAACTTGCTAAATTTTCTTTTTCATCTGGGATTTTACTCATGTGATTTGCTCTTCCCGGAACTCTTGTTGCCCCTATTTTGCTTGAGTAACTCCTGATCATTCTTGATGAATGATGAACTGTTATTTCCTTAAAAAGCCTTCCTCAGCTCCTCTCCTCTTCCTTCTCAGTCTAGTGCCATTGTGGAAGTTCCCATTGTACCATAAATGGCCTGAGCATGTCCTTCACATGCTTCCTTCTTACTGCTGGTCTAGATGCATGAAGCATTTGCACACATTGCCCTCCCTAGAGAGCCCACTCAGTTTACCTGCATGTTACAGAGCGTCAGGAATGCTTTAATGCAGACATAGACGCTCTACTTGAATTCCAATTTCACAAGGTCAGAACTTCCTTGTTTAGCTTCCTATTTCACCTGAAATGAATTAGGCTTAACTTGAAAGCCTTGGTATTTCTGATTGTCGCCACTTCCCTTTCCCTTCTCAGTGAACCCTTTCTCTTTCTCCACATTTCCTTCCATCCCCCTTGCCCACTGTCTAATTAAGGAAGAGGTGAGAGAGAAGGTGAATCAGGTGGTTTTTGTATTGTTCCACCTGTGGTGACAGACCCCTTGAAATCAAGGGTGCACTCTAGTTCTAGGGGTGCTGGCAGCAACAACAGAGCACAAAGAGCTGAGGGAGACAAGTGGAGAGGATGCTTTACCATGAAGGTAGGGCTGACAGGAGACAGGGCTCAGCAATCCCCCCATTACAACTTCTTCCCAGGGAGAATCCTGGCACAGGTTGGGTCCATCCACATCGCTGTAGGTGCTCCCTAAACCCTGGGCTCTTTGTTCTGGGATCCATACTCAGCACCCACAGTACCTAGCACAATGTGAGTTCACTCTCTCCTCATTTTGTTTACTCTCCTTCTCTTGTCTAGTCCACCCTCAAACTGCCCTCTCTCCCATACTTTCTCCTGTGTCTTCTGGAATTCTCATTTGCTTCACAAGCCTCAGCCTTACAGCCTTGATTCTTTAGTGTGTTGAGGTCAAAAGATTTCATTGGTTGGAATTAGACTGGGTTTGTGTTGCTGCTTGCCTGATCTGTCTGGCTTTGGGCAAGTGACCTAGCTGGTGTGAAGCCCAGATTGTCACCGTAGGATGGCTTTAGGGAAGGTAGTATGACTCTGATGGTCACTGGGGGACATAGAAGTTGAAAGGCTGATGAAGATGAAGTGCATGTGAAAAGCCACCTCACCCACAAGGTCACCCTTTGGTACCACCACTGTTCTTATTAACCTCTCCAAACTATAGCTTCTCTATTTATAAAATAAAAAGCTTGTTGTAGGGAATAAATGAGATGTCTGTGATATACCTACATAGTGCCTGGTACATGGTATGAGTTCAGTCACTACTAGTGCCGTTGTCCACGCTCCCCTGCCTGCTGGGACCAGCACCGAGAAAATGCCTTCTCTTGTAGCCTTCTCTACAGTGGAAGTGGAAGTGGAAGTGGAAGCTGCCCAGTTATTTCTCCAGTTGGGGGCCTGTGCTCTAGGTGATCCAATAATTCTTCAACTCCATTCCTCACCCCAAACTACTGTACCTTTGCTCATCCTTTCTGCCCTCAGTCCTTTCCAAAATTGGTCCTCCCACTTGTGCTCTGGAATACATTCCACATCTTCCTTTGGCACCTTGTTCTGTCTCCTGTTTCCTCTCACACCTTCAATCCCTTTTTTCTTATTTTGTCTTTAACCCTTCTTGTTTCTTCTGAACTTTCTGAATTGGCAGTCCACACTCACATGGTCCTTTCCTAACCTTCCCTTCCATATGCAATTCATAATAAATGACTGACTTCCCCTACCCTGCCTCACAGATGCTGCCTTTTATAAAAAAGATACAACTGGTGAGCTCAGTTGCCAAATCCAAGGTCAATGCCTGTCTCTTGTCTTCTTTACTTCTCTAGACCTTGACCCTGTTGAGCCACTTTTTCTCCTTTGGAGAACACACTGTGACTTTTCCTTTTTCTTCATGTCTTCAGTCTTTTTGTCTCTTGTTAAATTTATTCATTTCTTAATTCAATAACTTTTTATTCAAATCCTACTATGTAACCCAGCACTATGCTAGGGAGCATATATGAATATGTAGACAAGAGTCCCATGTACCTCAAGGAATTTACAGTGCACTGAAAGAAACAGTCATGCAGAAATAATGACATATTGTTCTATGTGCATACTAGTAACAGAGAAGTTCCCAGTCCTCTGCCTGAGCTCTAGCTTTGCTACTCAATGCGTGGTCCCTCGAAGCAACAGCAGCACCATATGGGTACTTGTAAAAAAGACACACTTGGGGTCCCCACTTGTGTCTACTGAAGCTACTGAACCAAAATCCCTGAGAGTAAGGCTCAGGCATTGGTCATCCTTGTTGGTCTCATCTCCTGAAGCTTCCTGTGAATCCTGCTTTCCAATATCCAAGATTCCTAGCTCTGAATCATCTGCATAAAAGTATGCATTCTTCATGGTATGGCCCTGATGTCACTCCCTTTGTGGAGCTTCATGGCATCTATTCCCTCGTAAAGTAGAATTTATCATCCTCTCTCTTTGTTTATGCCATTTGCAAAGCATTTATCACCTTGTTTAATTTGGTTCAATGTTTGTTCTCAGTTTGGTTCTATGAATGTTTATTGAGCTCTATCAGATACTATGGAAAAGTCTAAGATACAAAGGAAAGAATAAATCATTTCTTGTCAAAGGGCCTTGCAATCTATTGTGACTAATTATGCATATAACTATTCTTTCTTGCTTTTCTTTGAATAATTTGAAGGTTGAATACAAATGTTCCAGTGTTCACTTTAGTATTGATTGTTCTTTTTTTTTCAACTGGTGAATAGTGACATTAAAAAGAAATGGGGCAGGCCAGGTGCGGTGGCTCACACCTATAATCCCAGCACTTTGGGAAGCTGAGGCGGGTAGATTGCGAGATCAGAAGTTCAAGACCAGCCTGACCAAGATGGTGAAACCCTGTCTCTACTGAAAAAAAAAAATACAAAAATTATCTGGGTGTGGTGGTGCATGCCTGTAATCCCAGCTACTCAGGAAGCTGGGGCAGAGAATTGCTTGAGCCTGGGAGGCAGAGGTTGCAGTGAGCTGAGATTGTGCCACTGTGCTCCAGCCTGGGTGATAGAGTGAGACTTCATCTTAAAAAAAGAAAGAAAGAAAGAAAAGAAATGGGGCAGCCATAATTAAATAACCTTGGGCTAACCATTAATATTCACTGGGCACACATGTTGGTTGATATGGTTTGGCTCTGTGTTCTCACCAAAATCTCATCTTAAATTGTATTCCCATAGTTCCCGCATGTTGTCAGAGGGACCTGGTGGGAAATAATTTGAAGAAGGGGGGCAGTTTTCCCCATACTATTCTCATGGTAGAGAATAAGTCTTATGAGACCTGATGGTTTTATCAGGGGTTTCTGCTTTTGCAAATTCCTCATTTTCTTGCCACCATGTAAGAAGTGCCTTTTGCCTCCCACCATGATTCTGAGGCCTCCCCAGCCATGTGGAATTGTGAGTCCAATTAAACCTCTTTTTCTTCCCAGTCTTGGGTATGTCTTTATCGCAGCATGAAAATGGACTAATATAGTAAATTGGTACCAGTGGAGTGGGGTGTTGTTGAAAAGATACCCAAAAATGTGGAAATTACTTTGGAACTGGTTAACCGGCAGAGGTTGAAACAGTTTGGAGGACTCAGAAGAAACAGGAAAATGTGGGAAAATTTGAAACTTCTTAGAGACTTATTGAATGGCTTTCACCAAAACCCTGATAGCAATATAAACAATAAGATCCAGGCTAAGGTGGTCTCAGATGGAGATGAGGAACTTGTTGGGAACTAGAGCAAAGGCTACTCTTGTTATGTTTTAGCAGAGACTGATAGGATTTTGCCCCTGCCTTAGCGATTTCTGGAACTTTGAACTTGAGAGAGATGATTTGGGGTATCTGGTGAAAAAATTTCTAAGCAGCAAAGCATTCAAGATGTGACTTTGGTGCTGTTAATGGCATCCAGTTTTATAAGGGAAGCAGGGCATAAAAGTTTGGAAAATTCACAGCCTGACAATGTGATAGAAAAGAAAATCCTATTTTCTGAGGAGAAATTCAAGTAGACTACAGAAATTTGCTTAAGAGTAGGAGCCAAATGTTCATCCCCAAGACAATGTGGAAAATATCTCCAGGGAATGTCAGAGGGCTTTATGGCAGCCCCTTCCATCATAAACCAAGAGACCTAAGAGGAAAAAATGGTTTCATGGGCAAGGCCCAGAGTCCCTGGGCTGTGTGTGGCCTAGGGACTTGGTGCCCTGTGTTCCAGACACTCTAGCTATGACTGGAAACAGGCTAATGTACAGTTCTGGCTGTGGCTTCAGAGGGTGCAAACCCGAAGCCTTGACAATTTCCATGTGGTGTTGAGTGCACAGAAGTCAAGAATTGAGGTTTGGGAACCTCCGTCTAGATTTCAGAGACTATATGGAAATGCCTGGATGTCCAGAGAGAAGTTTGCTGCAGGGGTGGGGGTCTCATGAAGAACCTCTGCTAGGGCAGCGCAGAAAGGAAATGTGGGGTCAGAGCCCCCACACAGTAAAGCTCAGCCTGTGAAAGCAGCCAAAAGGGAGGCTGTACCCTGAAGAGTCACAGGAGCAGAACTGCCCAAGGCCGTGGGAACCCTTACATCGGTGTGACTCAGATGTGAGACATGGATTCAATGGAGATCATTTTGGAGCTTTAATATTTGACTGCCCTGCTGGATTTTGGACTTGTGTGGACCTGTAGCCCCTGGGTTTGGCCAATTTCTCCCATTTAGAACAGCTTCATTTACCCAATGCCTGTACTCCCACTGTATCTAGAAAGTAACTAACTTGCTTTTGATTTTACAGGCTCATAGGCAGAAGGGACTTACCTTATCTCAGATGAGACTTTGGACTGTGGACCTTTGGGTTAATGCTGAAATGAGTTAAGACTTTGGGGTACTGCTGGGAAGGCGTGATTGGTTTTGAAATGTGAGGACATGAGATTTGGATGGGCCAGGGATGTAATGTTATAGTTTGACTCTGTCTCCTCACCAAAATCTCATCTTGAATTTTATTTCCATATCCCACATGTTAAGGGAGGGACACAGTGGGAGATAATTTGAATTATGGGGGTGGGTCTCCAATACTGTTCTCATGGTAGCGAATAAGTCTCATGAGATCTGATTATTTTATCAGAGGTTTCTGCTTTTGTATCTTCCTCATTTTCTCTTGCTGCCACCATGTAAGAAGTGCCTTTTGCCTCCCACCATGATTCTGAGGCCTCCCCAGCCATGTGGAACTGTAAGTTAAATTACACCTCTTTTTCTTCCCAGTCTTGGGTATGTCTTTTATCAGCAGCATGAAAACGGACTAATACATTGGTGCCCTCTAGAATCCATTTCTAATTCCCTCTTCCTGGCAGCTTCTAGTTTCTGTCTGTGTATCCTCCAGTTCAGGAGAAGCCCTAGGGGTACAGCATGTGCCCTAAACAGAGAGAATATCAAGACTTTTGTTGGGTGTTGATGGCAGTGATAGATGTAGGAGAAGCATAGTGCCAAGAGGGCCCTGAGCACCTATTGGAGATGACAAGGAGAAAGCCTGTGGAAAATGGAAGCCTAGAAGTCGAATCTGAGAAATCAAAATAGAAAAATTGTTTGTTCACATTATTTTTGAATCAAATCTCATCTGAATTTTTTCCCATCACATTAGCTATAAATTCCTTTCACTGATGAAACTATTCTGGTTTGGGTGTTCTATTACCGATAATCATAAGCATCCTAATTGTTACAGTCTTCTACTTGAATCCAAAGAATGACAACTTATTTGCTATCTAGAGAATGAGTCTTTGCATTCACTATAGGCTGATTAATTCACAAATAGGATTAAGTGTAGGTCTCTTCTTGGTCTTACCTGAGAAACTACAGTTCCTAGGACTTCACGGCCACACTAAACTTTCTTTAACGCCACATTACAATAACTACAGATTTGCACATTTGTTGCTTTTCTATTTATTTATTTATAGTACAGAGTCTCACTCTGTCACCCAGGCTGGAGTGCAGTAGCATGATCATGGCTCACTGCAGCCTTAACTTCCCTGGCTCAGGTGATTCTCCCACCTCGGCCTCTTGAGTAGCTGGGACTACAGGTGCACTCCACCATGCCCTGCTAATTTTTGTAATTTTTTGTACAGACAGAGTTTTACTGTGTTGCCCAGGCTGGCCTCAAAGGACTGGCCTCAAGTGATCCACCCACCTCAGCTTCCCAAAGTGTTGAAATTACAGGCATAAGCCACCATGCCTGGCTTGTGATGGTTAATTTTATGTGTTAACTTGACTGGATCATGGGGCACCCAGATACTTGAGTAAACATTATTTCTGGGTGTGTCTGTGAGTGTGATTTCAGATGAGATTAGCATTTCAGTGGGTAGACTGAATAAAGCAGACTGCCCCTGCAATATGGATAAGCCTCACCCAATTAACTGAGGGCCTGAATAGAACAAATAGGTGAAGGAAGGGAGAATTTGCTTTCTCTGCCTGATTTTGTGAGCTGGAGCATTGGTCTTCTACTGTCCTCAGACTGTAACTTATGCAATCAGCTCTCCCGTTCTCAGGCTTTCAGACTTGAGCTGAAACTGCCACTGGTTTTCCTTGGCATCTTGCTTATACATGACAGATGGGACTTCTTAGCTGCCATAATTTCATGAGCCAATTTCTCATTATACAAATACAATAAATAGATGAGGGTTTTCACTTTAAAATTTACATGTATACATGCCTGAGACAGGAAATCCTAAGCACATATGCTGTTCACACGCACAAAGAAAAACATGCTTAGTTGTGTGTACCATGACATATACAATTTTTACCTCCAGTTGTTTTTTCTTTGCTGCTACATGCAGAAGCCGTAGTAGATGGTATTGTTCTGGCTGTTCCAGCTGAGACATTAAGGCCAAGAGTTCTGTCAGGTGTCTATTAATTGGCTGAGGCTGCTTTTCATACACAGCAGGTAACACTCTCAACAACATGGTGTTACCTGTTCAGGGAACAATAAGGGGAATGATGACTTTATCAGGCCATAAGCAACAGAAATAACATTATTACCAGTGCAATAACATTTACACATTAAATAGCACAGAGTAATGGCCAAATCTTCTGCTAAAAATAACATGGTACCTTATTCTGCGATTAAAATGTGATTTACTCTGATTCTATAAAAGGAAATATTTTATGATATGATCAGTAACATTAACTAATAAAAAATTTTCCTGAGTAATGCACCATGGGGATAGAGGAACTTTGACAGTAATCAGACCACACCCTTGAGAAGGAAACAGTTCTGATAAAAGAATTCCTGATGAGAAGCAAAATTTGTATAATGTTTAAATGAAAACTAAGCAGTGCTATAATCATGGACATAGATGAAACTGAACTACAAGAAAAGTGAAGAGGAGTGAATTCACATTCCTGAAAGATACAGAAGCATAATTTAGACAACTCACATACAGAAACTATGCCTTATTTTTAGTATAAGAAGTAGTAATGCAAAATCCCCAATTTCTGCACTATTTCAAGGGAAGTTTAGCCTCAACTGGTTTGTCACACATGACTTCCTCAAAGACATGTATAGACAACTAGATTTAAAATGGCAAAACCTCAAGAAAAATACTACATGAACTATAGGAATTTATCAGCAAACAGCATATGGGCAACATCTACTTATCACTTGATGGTATGGATTTTTTTTCTCTCAAAATCCTCTCAAGTATTTAAATGTCTCAGGGGAGTTGGTTTCTAGGGATTTTTTGAACAAGAATTTTCTTTACTCTTTTACTTTTACTTTAAATTTGGCTTTGTATGTAGAAGCCATACACAGAAAGAATCAAATAAGTAGGAATTACAGATATATAGACCTTCATTAAATGGTAGGAACATGCCTATAAATAAAAGACGATTTAGATATGATCATTAAAGAAAGAAGGCCAGAATTTTCAGAATATCAATATCTAAATTTAATGAAAGCATGATTCTAATAAAACTGAATGAATTTGTGAGACAATAAAAAATGAGAATTTTTTTTCCACATATAGTTCATAGAATAAGTCTAAAACAGGTTTTATCATGTACCCCAGAATACAAGTGGTTGGAAATATTTAGTTTTCTTTAAAAAGGTTGTGTTCATCAGTATTTATTTTCAATAATATAATTTTCAACAATTTGTGTTGTTTTCTGCTTATTTCACTATGAGCGTTTCCTTAAAAGATCAGGAATTTTTAATGCAATACCCAATTTGTACAGCCCACATTAGATCATAGAACTTAGTTACAAGAAGATACTGATGGTCACGTTAAAAGGGACTGTAGTTGCAATCTAAGACAGGAAACTGGTGTGTGGCATTTTGGTACAAACTCACTAAAGGCCCTGGGAGCCTTGAAGGGGAAAACCCCAGATTAGTCATTTTCAGCTGACTTGAATTTCAATCAAATAATACAAAAACGAATGCAGAACTTTTGCAGAAATCTTATAAATTCCATTAGTAAGTAATACATTCTTTTAAATTATGAAATAGTTTAAGTCATCAAACAAATATAGGCAATAATATAAGAAGCACTGGTGCACCTGCCAACCAGATTTGTCAAAACTTAATCTTACGTTATAATCACTTTTCATCCCATTTGTTTCCTTTCCTCCCCAGAAGCAACCATCATCCTAAAGGTAGTATTTATGATTTCCATACATATTTTTACACTTTAATTACATGTGTATGTATCACTAAACATTTTATAGTGTTGTTTTGGATGCTTTAAAATTGTATATGAATAACATCATACTGTACATATCCCTTTGCAACATATTTTTTCCTATTCAACATTTTGTTGAAATTAAACATCCAAGAAGCTCTTCTTCATTTATTCTCACAGCTTTGTGTTATTCCAGTGTATAAATATGCAACAACTTACTCATGCACTTTATGATTGAAAGATATTGTGGTGTTGTTATTTGTTGCTTTAATCCATGGCGCTGAAATAACTGTCTCTTTGTGCAAAAATGAGAGTTATTTCATAAGGTAGTGCTTCTGATTCTAATGTGCTTAGTAATCACCTGGGCATCTTTTTAAACTCAGATGTTGGCCGGGCTCGGTGGGTCATGCCTATAATCCCAGCACTTTGGGAGGCCGAGGCAGGTGGATCACGAGGTCAAGAGATTGAGACCATCCTGGTCAACATGCTGAAACCCCGTCTCTACTAAAAATACAAAAAATTAG